TGTTATCCAAAAAGTGTGTAAAACGAGATCTAAAACATGAGGAAAATAAACATAACTTAAACTATTTTACACTAATCAAGTCAAGAAAAATAGTTTATATGGTTAGGATGAACATACTTGAACATAAAACCCATTTTTGGACATAAAAGTCAAAAAACAAAACTTAGGGCCAAACGACAAATTATAATTTCTGGGGGTCAAAAGGGTCCAAACAGTTTCTATAATAATTTTCTGAACATCAACATTGTTGAGGGGCTTAAAATGTAAATTTTGAATTTAATGGGCTAAATTTGGGCTTTTCGGCCCAATAAGCTTCAAAATGCGAGATTTCTAAATTTGAGGGGCTAAAAATGCAATTTTCTGTAAAACAGGGGATTTGAAGTGTAATAAAACTATTCCAATGGTCAAAAATGCTTTTCAAATTCAAAAAGGATCAAAAATGTAAAAAATTTCTATTTTGGGCCAAAACTATCAAAGTTGCGAAATTAAGGGTTTTAACCGAGAAAACATCAATCTGGAAGGACTAAAGTTGTTTACAAAATAAATTTGGGCTAAAAATGTCTTTTCAACAAGTTTATGATACAAAAGTGTCAAAATAATGTTTTAAGGACTAAAATGAAATTCTTTTATATAAAGGACTAAAAGTGCTATTTTTATAAAAGAAAGGTTGTGAAAAGGTAAAAATCTTACTTTTAAACAAATTAATTCATTAAGAAAAAATACAAGATCCACGACTACCGATGAAACGTAAAAACAAATACACTCTCAACAACCAATATCGTTATTAAACGAATAGATTCGGTCTCGAATCAATAACAAAACAAAAATCAATAACCATAGTATTTCAATAAACACGTGATAACTACGAGGAGTCAACATTCAATCTTTGGGCTTGAAAGTTTCAAATCGTGCTTGTTGGGCCTTGCTAGCCCAATAACATGATCTTTGGGCCCGAAGGGAACGCGCTTACATGTTAATGGGCCTTCTATGACCCAATTACATGTAAAAGGACTTTCAATAGCTCTATTGTGCTATTGGGCCCTAATGGTCCATTAGTACTGCTAGTGAGGTCGAGAAGTCAAATGCGAGTCGGGCCAAGTGCCTTTCGCATTCCCGATAGCCTTGAATAACTTATGGAAATAAAGGGGGCTTCGTACCCTCCTTTCTCCTCGGTTGTTGGGCTTATGAGAATTCGAGTAATCAGATTCGTGGCGTTAATCAAGAGAAGTCAGGGTGGTTGGATTGTGTGAGTAGTACGGACGACGCCTTAGGGATCGTTCGTAACCTGTAGTTATAAACTAGTCATTTTCATTAATGCGTGATTGTAACCACTCACAAACCCTAGTTAATCCAATGTCACCTGGGTAATCAAAAACATTCGTCGTATCGGTATAACAATAAACAAGTCATGTAATTTGCGTATTGGGAAAACATCGGGTTTTCCCGGAAAGTTCAACATTTTCACCTGTGTGATGTATACAAAGTTCAACAATTATACATGTTTTCAAAATCGACAAGCATATTTACGGATCTTCACACTTTTTTTATAAACAAATACTCTTTTCAGAAAATATCGGATTTTCTGGGTGTTTCAAACTTCACAAAAATCATTTTTCCATAACATTACTTATGAACTCACCAACATTTCATATGTTGACGTTTTTCAAAATAACTTGTATTCTCAGGTAACAGGTAAGCCGGAGAATAAGTACCAAGTCATGTCATGGTGTTTTGCTTAAACTATCTATTAGATAGTCTATGTTATGGAATTGTAACGTTTAAACAATGTACTGAATGTAAACAATATCAGTTGTAATATTCCAATGCATGGTGATGATTTGTGTTATGATTCATGTATATTCATTGTGATGGTATTCAATTTGAGTCACAAGAGCCCTCGAACGTTTCCGCCGTTCGGTTCGGGGGTGTGACAGGTTGGTATCAGAGCTCTGTTTATAGTGAACTAGCATATCTAACCACACATTGATATGCAACTATAAACCAAAAAGAGGGACTAACACAACTCTGAACAAAACAAGTAAAACATAACAATAAAAACACCTTTGCTTGTATTAGGAAAAAGAACATAATACCGAACCAAACAAGATAATGCTAGTATCTCGGTTAAGCCAGGACTGTTCTTAGTCATATCAAGGAGTGGATGTAGCCTGATCAACTACATTCCCTCCAAGGTACAACTATCACATGTCCTGAGGGAATCGTGATAGCTAGGGAACCTAAAAACACACCCATTTACCTCCAAGAAGAGAACCTCAACTCAATCTATGCAATAGTTGTAGAGTCATAGGAGTAACAATCATTTATTCATATACCTCCTCCCAGTCTTCATGGAAAGAGAGCAGCAGGGCATTCAGTTTCATCAAGTCCTAGTAGCCCACGGGAGGGTCAAGGATGAGCCAGAGGTAGATCAAGGAAAGACACACGACATTAGACCTAAAGAGGAACAGGACGAATATGTGATGGTTGATCTCGATTATGATGAGTTGGACCAGGAGACAGATGAAGAAAAGGGCGTAGAAGAGGTGTGTAGTGAACCTCACCAGTTGGAAGCCCCGTCAAATTTCCGCATGTTTCAAGGGGTGGATACAAAATACTTATGCGCCCTCGAGGAGGTAGTTATCAGCCTGAAGCTTCAACTCATCATGGCCAAGGCAAGGGCCACGAAAGCCGAGCGGAAAGTAGCGGTAATCACCCAAGAGGCGGATGAACTGGCTGAACTTCTGGTGCGTCACATCGACGATTGAGTGTCGTCGTCATCCTTAATAATAGGACCTACTCTACTACCCGCTAGATAGGTTCCACCGTACGAGGGACTAGTTACACTCGTCTTTAGTTCTAGTACTAGGATCTATGCTATGTACCCCGACTCTATGTTTAAGTGACTACACTACTCATAGAGCCGTTATGCTGTCAAACTAGTACCGCTTATGTATGCTCTTTCGAGCAAAATTTTCATGTATCAAAGTGCGGGTAATAGTAATGAAAGATTTTACATGTTTTATTGTGACGTTATAATCTGCTATGTGTTACGTATCCATGATTGTATGCTAAATTGTAGAATTACTTAAGTTCGTGCCACGCACCTAGTCTATAGGATCACAACCTCACAAAAACCACAGACACTCAACATCTTTCTGTTCCATGACAGAAAGATGCCTCAACGACCCACTCGCGGAAACCCTAGGGCAACCCCACCCGAGTCGACTCAGCTGCATTCCAAGCAGCTGTATCTGTTGCGGTCACCGCATCAATGGCACAAATTCACCAAGGGAACAATGGAGTAGTCAACGGACAAGGGGCCGGAAGTTCGAACAACGGGATGAATCAAGGACCCACCAAAACATGTTCCTATAAAGACTTCACCAACTCCAAACCACGAACCTTTAACGGCACTGGAGGGATGATCACCCTGAAACGATGGATCGAGAAGGTGGAATCGGTATTCGAGATATGTGATTGTCTTGAGGAGATGAAGGTGAAGTTTGCCGCATGCACTTTCGTTGACCAAGCGCTCACTTGGTGGAACGGACACGTGGAAGCCATGACACTCCCCGTAGCCAATTCCATGCCATGGGCAGAAATGAAAGAAATGTTGATGGCCGAATACTGCCCTCGTGGTGAACTTCAGAAAATGGAACAAGAGTTGTGGAATCTCACTGTCCGGAACACTGATATAGAAGCCTACATATCAAGGTTTAGCAAACTGTCTCTGTTATGCCCTGGCATGATTACCTCAGAGGGTAAGAAGATCTAGCGATTCATCTGGGGACTAACCTCCCCGATCCAAGGAAACGTGATAGCTGCAAATCCCGAAACTTTCGACAGTGCCAAAACATTGGCCAAGAAGCTGTATGACCACAACAACAAGAAGGGTGAGAAGCTAGTGGAGACTGAAGTTAAGAATGAAAATGATAGCAAGAAGGGGAAGAACAACAAGAGAAAGGGACGTCAAGGCTCTGAATCAATCAAGAAGCAGCAAACAATGGCAGTTAATGTTGCAACCGCTCAAGTTCCATCCACACCACATGCTCCAGCCTCAGCTGCTCCAAGTGCTCCTAGACCTTATTCCGATAATCTTCCCAAGTGCAACAAGTGTGGTCTCCATCACAATGGAGAATGCAGAGAGATGCAATGCACCAGATGCAATCAGAAGGGACACACGACAAAGTATTGCAGGACCTACCCTCCTCATAACCAACAACAGGGAAATAACAACAACACCAACACCAACACTGGCGGCAACAATGCAGGACCTAGCCACACCTGCTATGGATGTGGCGGCAACAATGCAGGACCTACACATGACGTCCTCTACCCCCGAACGTTTGCTACGTTTCAATTTGGGTGTGTGACAACATATCCAAGTTTAGTATGTTCATGTAAAGTTCTTCAAACACATATCATGTCGTCCACAAGTTTTGGTTGTTCAGCTAATTCGAGGAAGTTTAGGAGGATCCAAAAATCGAGTTCCAGGTTTGTGTTCAAGATGTAGATCTAGGTTTATAACCCATTCACGAAAAAAAACACATGAAATAGAGAGACTAAACTATGAGTTCGAGATGTGCATCTAGATTAAGAACCCATTCAAGATAAAACACATAAGTCCATATTTTGATGGTTCAAGTGAAATCTTATATATACTAGATGTGAGACACGTGTACTACACAGGTTGATTAAAAATAGTTAAACATCAAATGTTTAATTATTAAACATTTTTTAATGTAAAATTTTGAAATAAATACAAACGAAATGATAAACAGATGATTACATCAATCTATACCAATAAAAATAATATTGATGTATTTAAATAATTATGTTGAATATCAGTATGTAAACATTAAATATTTTATTAAAGTAAACTTTCAAAAAAATGCAAACGAAAAGATGAATACATATATAATTCAATCTACACTAACCTTATAAAAGAAATATTAAAACCATACTTATTTATTTAAGCAATTGGACACCACACATACACATATACACAAAGTGTTGTGCATGCCTGTTTATTTATGGTTGTGTGTATACAATGATGTAAAACAAAACTCACATGACATGGAAATGCTAAAATATCATATTCATGGATGTAACGTACTTTTAAAGAACGATGTTTTGATATGTAAAATTAAACAAAATTAAATTACGAAATCATCAAATTTACATATGAAAAAATATTAATGTCAGAATCTCCTTTGTAACTCCCTAAATGGAAAACTCTACCTCCCAAATAGGCTATTATGCGTGGACTTATATGAACCACCAAATTTATATATGAAAAATATTTATTTTAATGTAAAAAGATAATCCACAATAAACTACGTATATATGTAACTCTCCCATATGAAACACTTTGATAGCACTTCAAAGATCAAATGTACAACCACCAAAATCAAAACAGCCAAGTAAAGGAAAACATAAACAACCCTCTTTTTAAAAAAATTCATTATAGCGTATATGTATAACTGTCAAAACAATGAAATATTTGTAAGAAATCAAGAAACAAAAGCTTTTAAAGCCTTCTACTCTAATTATTGTTATGTATCAAGAGATAAATTAGAACCGAAAATTTTCAAATCTAAAAATCATCAAGTGAGTGTGCACATGTGTTTTGTGACAATCTAGAACCTCGTATGCCTCTCTGTTGTTTTGGATGATAGGCTAAGATTTGCAATTTTGGAATCATAAAAAAGGGACCATACATAACCATGATCACAACGTCATATGGGCTAACACTTTTAAGTTGTAGACAAGATTGTAGCAGAAACAGAGAGGTAACTGATAATCTGAAAGATTTTTTAGTCCACTACATGGATTTGGATATTCAAATTTTGAATTAGTATTAGTATTATTCACATGTGATTTGGTTTCCAATACTAAGGGAGTGTGTAGAAAAAAATTAGGAAAAAAACTATAAATTGAATCCATTCATTTATATAGTATTAAATATAATTAGTATTATTAGTTGTCATTTTATTAAAATTGAAAAACATATAAAAAAAATGATAAGTGGAAAATAATTAGTTCAAAATTATAAGAAAGTGACATGTGGCAAATTAAATGAGAAGATAGCATGTTGCAAACTATATTTATTTATTAGGTATGATATATATATATATATATATATATATATATATATATATATATATATATATATGGCTAAGTTATTTTGTTTCTTACATCTATTGTGTGCCAGAATGCATAGATGTAGACCATCGGATGTAATATAATCAATGGTCATGATCCGAGAGTTTATGATATTACAATGGGTTAACATGTACCATATAATCACACAAATTTCAGCATAAGGGTATTTTAGACTATTAACTATATTTAAAAAATGAAATTTTCATATGTTTAGAGATAATTAATTCTCCTAATTTTTAAAATCCGGAATTTTTATATTAATTCAATTTTAATTCTAATGTAATCTGTAAGCATAACCGATTTTATTCCGTCAGAATGTTTTTTTTTTGTTAGAATGATGTTCTTTCAGAATTTTATTCTATTAGAATATCATTGAAGAATAACATAATTCTTGAATCCCCGATTAAAGAATAACAATATTCTAATATATTTTTATATATTCAAACTTACATTCAAATTCTTATATATGCTAACAGACTAATCGTCTTATACATTTTAGTATAATTATACATACTCTAACAGAATATCAACAAAAATGAATAAAATTCTTAAAAAATAACAACATTCTTAAATTGTGAGTGTGATCAATCTTTTATTCATTATTCAAGTTATTCCTATCATATCTTCAACCCGTTATTCCAGCCAATCCCATCACAAATACAAAAAAAAAAAAAAAAAAAAAAAAAAAAAAAAAAAAAAAAACCCCGAAGAATGGTTAAAAGCATGTTACTTGTCAACAAACATTCTTAAAGACATTATGACAGAATGTATTTATACAAATAAATTCTGATAAAATACGTCACAGAATACACTTAAATCATATTATTTCTATGTGACAAAAAATACATCACAATTTTTTTTTTACTTTTCCTATATTGACAAATAAGGAGATTAAAATCTAATTTTGCCGGAATAATAAACATTAAATTGATGAGTGTTACTGACCTCATTCTAAAATAATATTTTGTTTTCTCATTATATTGTATATGTTTTGTTCTTTGGTTATATCCATCAAAGACCTATATATTAAACACATACAAGCATGTATATACACATCAAATCTTATCAAGTGAAATACAAATAGCAGAATACATTCTGCTAGAATACACATATCATGTAGTAAGATAAAGTACAACCGAACACACTAACACACTAATCAAATTCACCTAAAATCAATCATATACAAAATCAATCATGAGATAACGCACATCCAAAACCACCGATCAAACAATTTGTATATATTATACCAAGTTCTCTTTTAGACATTTTCACAAACACCTTACATGCAATAAGATAAAGTACAACCAAACACACTAACATACAAATCAAATTCATCTAAATTAATCAAATACAAAAAACAATCATGTAATAGACAATCAAATTTACAGAAAGGGGGAAATGGCAAAAAGGGTTGATGCTTACAGAAGCAACAATATTGTACTCCTCAATTGTCTTGCACTTGAATAAGCCACGGAATCCTATCAAATGAAACCAAATCTTGTTTACAACCCAAAAATCTAAAAAACCAAGTCAATTAAATTAAAAACAACCATTACAAGTCTTGATGTCTTGCTTTGTTGCCTCCCGAGTCATTTAAAGG